CAGAATGGGACTATAACAAGCGACCGCGAGTTAATTAACTTGCATCATGCGTTTCTCAAAATTACTGTCTGTTTCGCACTAATTCTTGTCATCGTGTTGCATCAAACATATTCGGGAATTATTTCTCATGTAATTATTACTTTCATCTTGCAATTTTATAAAAACAATTAAAATCAATGTTTATTTATATATATATATATATATACATCGATCGCCCAATTAATATATTCACCTATATACTTAACGCTTTGATTCTAGTGTGATATGAAGAGAAATGTATTAACAGATTAAATCACATACTGAAAACAATATTAAATGTTACTGAAAATATCGATATCCGTGATCCTATTTTAACATTGCATTTAACGCAACAAAACTGTATATCGACAAACTATTGAAAACACATCCGTGCTTAGTATACAAAGTGCTATAACAAATATTTTAAATAAAAAATAAATCAGTAATAAACTTTAACACAAAGATTGGATTATTTGTAATCCTCTTTGCTTATTGATTACACAAGTTTTAATTGTAATGCGATAATGACTTCGTATTTGTATTTCATATAATTAATGAACAACTGTCAGTTTTGTGATGAGATGTGTGTGTGTTATGTGTGTGTGTGTTGTTGACTTTGTATTTTATATTTCATATAATTAATGAACAAATGTCAGTTGTAACAATTACACTCATTTAGAAATGCAATTATGTTGCAAAAAATAATATTAAATTAAGCTGTATGAGATGTATCGAATCTTTTTTAGGAACATTTATTAAAATTTATGTTACACGAAAAATTAATGTAGATACTGACATAAATAAGAAGAAAAATTAATTTTTCCAGCCGGTTTTAATTTTTTCACCTCGTTTTAAAATAATAAAAATTACAAGATTGTTAATTAGTTAGAAATGAAAATTACGTACAACTCAGATTGTAAATATTTTACGTAACTCTTTATGAGATTAAACGCTCTTTTTTCTTATGAGACGTTAAGAATTGGCGAAACAAACTTTGAAGGCAGTTATTACTCTGGAATAGTGAAGAGAAAAAAAACTCAACGAAAACGATGAGAAGAATAGTTATTTGTGGAAATAACATAATGCTTTCATTAAGAATTTTTTGAGATTTAAAAAATTCATTTATATAATATTATTTTTTATATGGTTTTATTTGCTCCGATTATTTTTTTAGTGCTTGATAATATAAAATTTTTAATTAATTAAGACAATAAATAAAAAAAATTGTATGGATATAAATTTAAATAAAACGTGCTAAAAGTAACATTGTTATAAGAATAAAATGTTACAAAATATTATTTAATTTTTATTATATATATGTATATATATATATATATATATATATGTGTGTGTGTGTGTGTGTATGTATAAAAGAAGAGAGAAGACTAGACACGCTTCAATTAAAATTCTGAAAAAGTAAGAAAAAAAAGACGAGTCGCTAGCTCTTTACGTCACACCGTCGCATTACCACACTGGTAAAACCTGAAAGCAATTATTCTCATAAGATATTACAATGATAAAAAAATGTCTAACGGTATCTGAAGGATCGTTAAATGATTTCGCGCATCGCAATGAGTATTTGTTTTCTTCAGAATTCTTTGAAACCTCCAAAAGTCGTTACGTCAACAGAAACTGTTATGCTCTTTACAGGAATTTATTACTTCCTTCTTCTTCTATCTATAATGGTTTATTCAGAAACTACGCAGTTTCATTAAAACTTCACGCAGTAGTGAACTTTCAAGATAATATGATATTACTAAGATGCGGCATTTATCTTTGAAATCTTTTAATGCATTCTTGTAGCGTTGAACATTATTTACGTCGCTAGTACGATATAATACTAAATATTACACTTTTAAGAACATTCTTAAAATTTGAGATATTTATTCGCTTTATTTATTCGCTTTTGTGAGTATGAATCATCAATTCAAAACATTTTTGCATATTTTCGGAAAAATATGAAACTCGAAATAATAAAAGGAAAACGTCTTTAGTAATTTAATTTTAATTCATTTATATTTAAAAGACACTATTTTCAACAAATTCCAAACATGTTTATCTTTTTACTAACATTTGAATTTTTTTACAAAAATTATGAAGGGTTTACGGATACACGAAGTAATCTTTCATCAAAAACATAAGAAGGAGAATCATAATATATATAGAATTTATCAAGGGAAAATGTGATTTACAATAGGTACTCCTTCTTAAAAATTACTTTATACGATATTGACACTGCTTTGTATAACATTCTGTATACAAAAAATATAATAAGAACAATTTGTATATCTTAACAAAGCAATATTTTTGATGATAGAATCTTTTCAATCAATTCTATAATACGAACAAGATATATAGAGAACAGACTTTCAAAATGCATTTTGTTCAAAATTTGTAATTTTCGGAAAACGAGAAAGAAAGAAACTACGCACACAAGAAAACTACGCACACAAGAAAACTACTTTACAGAAAATAACAATATGTCAATCAGTAGGATGTGAAATATTAAACAAAATTGCTTAACAATTGCTAAAAATGTTAAACAAATGTATTTATTTCTAGTTAAAAAACAATGCACTTTGAAATATCTGTTTTTATATAAATTAACGATGAAAAAATGCTTTCTGACTATCTCAAAGTAGCTTATAATGTAAGTCATTCAACACTGAACACTACGCCATCTCTAATTAAAAAAAAATGAAATTTTGGATAAAATGCATTTTGAAAGTTTGCTTCTCATATGTTCAAAGCAATTAGAGGATTTACTTTTGAAATTGTCCGAATTTACTTATTAAATATTTGCCAATATTTTATGAAACATATATATAAATGCGGGCAGTATAGAACTCTAAGTTTGAAGCAAGATTTAATAGGTTCGCGGGTATCACCTCGGGAAAAGAAGAGAAGGGAGGATGACGTTTCATTTTCTAGCCTATTTCAGCTGATTCGATCGTGAAGCGTGATTTTACAACACAGCGTAACTCTCTAGCGTGTTTTCGTGATCTCAATGTAACTTCGAGGATTACCCCGTCAAGTCGCGTTTACATTGCGCGTTTACCTTCTAGCTACGTCATCCTATTTTCCTGCGGGGCTCATTACTTCTCTTAAGCCCGACTCTCTCGCGACGTCGACGGTTTTGCAAACATCGCGGTTCAGATTAGGGCGACAATTTCGAAGCTTAAACGCAGCTTGGTAGTAGCTCATGTGCTGCATTTTGCACCAGATGTAGGTATTTGACTAACCAATTGCAATTAACGGCGGTTTACTGGACAACAACTGCGTTCGAGAATGCTAGAGAATGCTCACAGATCGTAATAGATATATGCATAAGAAAGAAAACAAAGTGTGGCGTCAAACGATAATTCTTTGATTTTTTTTACTTTACTATATAAATTTTATTAATTTCTGATAACTTCTTGCTAAATAATTGCTTGTATTTTATAATAATTAGTGCTTATTTAACAAAATTATAATGAGTATGTACTTTTGCTGTGAAATACTTTGTGTGCATGTGTAAATAATAAGAAAACATATTTTTAAAACATAATACACGTAATATATATCTTGAAGCGCAATAATTATGATAAACGCAACAGTTTTCTTAATCGTTGATTTTTCTTTAGTAATAATCTGAACGAACTAATAGTTTTTGAATTATATCGCAACGACAAAAATCTTTTGAAAATACGTATCTTTTTAAAGAAAACATTGTCTGTAAAATTGTCAAAATGTTTCTTTAAAATTATACTCACAGATTCTAGAATACTTCATTATGCAATGCATACATATGCAATTTACGTAATGCATGAATTTCATACTAACTACTACTAACAATCCCATTCAAAGAATATCTGTCGAGTAACCACAAGAATATCCGGTACTAGGACGATTCGCGAGATTGTTCATCGAGATACAATCGCGGTTCTAATTGCATCGCTATTCGATTTATTGTTCGCGTGTATGTATTTTGCGTTGTCACGCAGTACCGCAGCGGAAATGCAGCTGGTCGCAGATGAATTTGCCCAACCCCTCAATCCTTTGCCCGTTTCCTCTAGGTCGACTCTCAATCACAAGAGCCCGACGTTTCAAATGAGATTCGGTTAACGTATGGTGAGGTAATGGACAAATGCCTCAACCGACCAGAAAGTGCTTATGAGATAGCCTCAAATCGCCTCGAATCCATAATTACGCTCCGTTAAGTCCACTTTATGTCCTTTAGTCTCTTGGATCATAGAAGATATTTTTGAACGAACCACATGATGCTGTCAGGATATTCTGTTTATGTGGTTCGAGTTGTCGGAGTATATTCATAGAGCATATAATAAGATTAATCAATTTTTTGATAAGTTCAATCAATAATTATAACATAAATGTTGTATTGCTTTTTCTAATTATTTATTTAACAATAATATTAGTAATTTCTATTTTTTTAATAATTTCATAACAATTATTAAAAACGTAACATTACTATCATTTTGCTCGAATTATTAAAACACAAAAATATACACAATATATAAAAGTGATTTATAAAGTGATTTATTCTAATATAAAATATGTATCCTCAAAAATTTTCTAGGTTAACATTAAATATAATTACAATCAATCGCTAATCTTTGCATAAATACATGTTTAAGTTTAAATATAGTTGCCGAATAATTTTGGAAAAGTTGAACAGCTTTGCGTTAAATCGATCAAATTACCCTTGATGTGTTTGCTCAATATTTTAACAAGCTCTTTAGCAACGTAATAGCTTTCTTAGTACAAGTTAAAATTTAATGAACTATTCCAGGTTGCTATTGGCACTATACAAAAAACTAAACGATTTCTGTATTGTAATTACATGAAATTTACCGAAAGATAATATAAAGATAATAATTATGATATAACATTTTTGTACACTAAATTAGTTTACAAATTTATTAATTTTAGCACGTGTCAATTATATCGTACACGTCTAATTTTCTCTTTTCAATTTTTCACAGATGATTGCCTCGAGCTATTGGCGTGAGCCAAAACGTCGGAACTGTGCAATATCTTAAGCACTCGACGAAGTACGATGACTTCTGCGGCGAGTAGAAATCTCTCGGGAAAATCACAAAAAGGATCTGAAAAGAAGTCACAAATGGCCGTAGCCGAGAATCGATATTGCAACGCGACAAGTAAAAGTTTCCGAGGTTGGAGGATCTGCCTTCACGATGAGTCAGCTGACGAACGGTATCTGGTCGACCTTTTACGAGATCGATGCCTGTAGATTTTAAGGCGTATCACGACATTTTAATCCCTAAGAGTGAGTCAAGAAAAAATTCGAGAAGAAGACAACGATGACACGTTCGGTCATTTGTTGAAAAATTAGTATCAGCATTCACGCAGAAAACGAAAAAAAACACTGCATCAACGGCAAAAATGAGTTTCTTCAGTTCCCTACAGGAATACGTGACGAACAGCGTGGCTAGTTTTAGTTTGAGTCCAAAGAGGTTCTCCTTCAGTCGTGAGGACTCGAAGGGTGATACTAGTGGGACCGGAAGAAGCAGTTCTACTGGAAGCGTTACCTCAACGACCAATACTAGCACGTCCGCTGCTCAGCAAGCTACGCCACATGGTTTTCCCAAGGTACGTAATTAAAATGTGTTGGAGAATAAACGAAGAATCTTGTATATTTTTTTACCATATACTCTTATTTTCTAAGATTTCAATTCCTTTTAATATAAAATAAAAATACAATATTATTATCACAATAAATGACGACTATTTATATTTATAAATTTTTTAATCTTATTTCTCTTTACTGTTAATATACTCGTAATGATTAAAACTAAAAGTATGTCATTATAGAGACTATATTATACCAGTTTTATTCGTTACAGCAAAAACACATTCAGCAATCATTTATTGATGATGAATTAATAATTTATTGTCAATATCAATAATTTATTATATTCATTGCATAAACATTCATTCTATCGTACTTAATTCTTAACAAACTTATTGTATATCGATGGTTAAATCTGCCTTAATTAATTAAATAAATATACGGTTCAAAAATTGCTTATACGATTTTAATGTGTAGTGTTGCGAATTTATACAATTTTAAATTGACGAAAACATTGTAAATTAATTAAATTACACACTAAGTATTACAGCAAAAAGGCATCATTTTATGCAAATAAGAAGAATAACATATTTTACGAATTACTTTAGTCATACTGAATGATTTTATTAATAAACAAATATTTTCTGACACTCATTCCAATAATTAAATGTTATTGTATAATGATAAGAATTTGATAGAATTTGAATAGAATAAAATAACTTGAATTTGTTCAATTAAACGTATTTTTTATTAATTCGTAAGCAAATAATTTCATTATCTTAAATGGCATTCCTTTTTTTCAATGTGCAATCGAGCAATTGATAGCCACGCAAATTTCCTCGGGCAAATAACACGATAAATTTTAATACGAATCCTAATAGTAAATCTAATTGCATAAAACCAAGATTAACTTCTTATGAGAAGTACGAGATTGACCAAAGGTCGATCGTATTTTTTCTTAATTAAAGAAACTAAGAAAGATGACATTAAAGAGGATATATTACGATCGAAGAATGCACAGAAAAGCAATTGTTGTTGCTCATTTAATGGAAAAGTCAATTTATTGATTACCAATATGCACTAGAAGCAGTAATTAACTGCTTGTTACATCAGTGTTAATTTATGCAGACATAAAAAGTTTAATTCTCTCACGACATTATTTTCCGATATTATCAATATTGGGAATATAAATTATTCTGGTACAACATTAAGTATGCGCCAGAGAAATTTTAACAATGCGAATTTACGATTTCCGACTCCAATCGGAATTTATTAATATACAATGCATCAATTGGGACATATTTCTCTAATAAGCATGACAGATATTATTATGCAAACGAACGGAGGCATATGCTTTCAACGATGAATTATTATATTGAACGCATAATAATATATAGCTACAGTTTATTTGATATTTAGAGTATATATTGTCATCAGTCATTCGTTTAAATGAACGAGCAAATGTGAATTTATCAAATCTTATATAAACGTGTAAAAAAGAGATATAGGAAAATATTTTTAACAAAATAATATCTTATATCAACGTCAATGCGTTAATTGAAACATCTAAACTAGAATTGATGAAAATGTTTTATAAAAAAACATACTGAAATAAGTATTGTCAAATGTAATTATTATGTAATTTTTTTCTTTTGTATAAACAATAATATTTTTCATTTAGATTATTTTTCAAATACATATTAATTTACATGTAGTATCTATGTTAAGTACTAAATTAAATTGAATTAAATTAATTTAATATTAAATTAAATTAAATCAGATATATTTAGATTATTATTATCATTATTATTATTTGTCAAAAACAACGATTATATAGCAAATTATATATGATATTAATATTAAATAATTACTAAATGCATTTAGATATAGTTACTATTATATTTTCTTTAGCCATTTCAATTAGATTTCGTACAGCATCTCTGAAATTTTACTTTTCTTTTAGGTTGTGCCACCTCCAGGAACTGTCACATCGTCGCACTCTCTTTCACGTAGACGCACTCTCGAATGCACTCCAGCTTCGGGATTGACGGTACATCCTGCGACAGGAAGTGGTGCCACATCACCGAGGCGAGTTGGCTCCTTTCGACGGAGCGGTGGATCCAGTGATCGACCGCCTCTAATGTTCTGCCGTCGTAGACTATCCTGGCCGGAGGTCGATATACAAGCTACTTCCGGGTAAGTATCCCGAGTAACGAGCGTGCATCTTACAGTGCCAAGAAATTGTCGCACTTCCGATACCAAATACACGACTGCATGTAGATTGCTATGAATTTAAATGTAAGCAAAATAACAATGATATTTATAATGATATAAATTTATAGGTGTTAAAAGTGAAAATATATAACTTCTAAATAAATAAAATAATAATGAAACAGTATCATAGAATCTTATTATGACAAGCAGAACGTAGTTAATAAAATTCTATTATAAATTAACATTACAATCATTACATTAAATGATATACTCGATACACATTATTTCGAAACAGATTATATTAATTTAACAATAACAAATGATGTGATCATAAAAAAATATATTTAATTATTAAATTAAAGTTAATAATTGATTATGTTGTTATATAGAATTATTATTCTTATTATTTATTATTATTAACGTTATTTTTCACATCATTAAGAAGACGAACGTAATTATTGAATTAGCAGAATTTACGAAATGAGATATCAAAACGATGTTTCAGAGGAAGCTTATCTTTCGGATTTAACGTGCAATAGTGTCCTTTGTTCACGCTCGAGCAAATAATTTCATTTGATTGCTCATCGAATCCTCACGAATATTCTGAGATTCTCTTCGCATAATTTCAAATGTCTCAATCGAATTTCCAGTAAGGCATTGCCTCTGTTGTGAGCTAGCTATTCAACGCTTTAATCCAGTTACACTAGCGTTGTGCACTAAGCTTTCCAGTTAACTACATTCTCATCCTCTGCTTCTATCGAAGAACGTTTCAGAGCAAATCACACTCTTCGCGACACACACACACACACACACACACACACACACACACACACACACACAAAATATACACAATTTCTCTCTCTCTTTTAAAAAGTTTCCATCATTTTTGTAAATTATGACGATGAACTGCAGTCCAGAACGCAGGAGAGACGAACAAACAATGGTGGCATTTTCATCGTGGAATTTTGCGTGCATATTGCGGCGAATGCACTTTTAATAAGGCCGCTGCGATGCATTGCGACCTTTCTCTTAAGCTGCTTCGTTGCATATGCATAAGCGCAGCCGGCCATTTAGCACGAGCTGTTAATCTCTTTTTAAAGCCTGCCTTCCCTTCTTTTCTCTAACACACCTTCAGCGAATAGTTCTGTCACAATCTGGATTTTCTTTCACGCAATATTTTGATATGTGGTAAATCTAAAATATTCCATGAAATTGTAATCAACACAATAATTGGGTTTTTATTACAGCAACGCGATATTTATAAGCCGATGAGATAGGCTGATCGTAAATAATAATTGTGCTCTTGCATATATTGAATATTTTTACAACGTGTCTAACAAACGTAAAATGACAAAATGAATATAATATCAAAATTTGATGAAACTTTCGTTTATCTGTTCCAAAAGCAAATAGGCAATTTTATCTTTTTTTTTTATAAAAATATAACATACTATATATGTGTACCTCTCCATATAATACATTTATTAAATTTTATATTATTTAATATAAATTATATTGAATTATCAAATATAAAACTTTTACAAAGATAAACATGTTTTTCCAAAAGTTTTCTTATTTTAAAATTTGAAAAGTTTAACAGATTTATTGTATTTTTCACTTTACAATATTTGATTAATACAATTGGATTTATATAAAATGTAACACAGTACAAATATTATAAAGTAACTCTGATATATTTATGAAGTTTTATTAAGAAATAAGAATGATAAATATCTATATGAAGTAATAAATAATAATTACAATTTTCCCACATGTATTACAACTTGTAATACATATGGCACTGAATCTGCTACTTTGTATACTTTGGACATAAATCCTGCTCGCTAAAAATGCCATACATCCCAAACAAATGGGATATACAAGACAACAAACTAAACAAAGAATATAAGAGTAAAGTACTTATATTTTGTTATACAACATGCTTTTCTATTCCTTTATACTCATATATCACGAAATAACCACTAAGTCTTTTGCACACCCTACAGTAATCATTTTATTACAAGATAGATTATAATTTATGATGGCCCTACTCAATACAGTGACAAATCGGTTTAACTCACAATAATTTCATTAATATTAACAGTAAGAAACAGAAATCATAACACAATACTAATATAACATAAAGGCATGTAACAAAGTTGCGGGAAAATTATCTACTTCTTCTATTTTTTCTAACTTCTGCGGCGTAAATCCCAGCTCGGCGTATTAGCCGGAGTTACCCTACGCATCGACGATTACATGAATAAAATATTCTTTTATCTCGGGTTTATGATTTCTCCAAAGTCTATTATTATATTAATACAGTCGGTCTCGAAGAAGAATAAGTACAAGAATAATAAACATCTTAACTCATTGTTCTTTGAACTTTATTTTATACACTCTAGAAACTCCCACGTAATGTAACAAAGGAGCAGTAAAGTTGACGCAAAGTACGGTTGCGTTCTTTTGTACAAGTTTCCTGTTTTGTGTGCCTCTATATACATTTTCTTAAGACGCGTGTGCCATGTTGCATGAATATTAGGGTTGATTTATTTGTACCAGAAGGAAAACCTATGATTATGTGGCATTAAACGAGAAAAAACATTGGTCTACTATATTTATTAAAAGAATTTATGATCAATTTTATTTACCAGAGATACTTGTCAAAAAATATCAAAAAAATTCCTGATATTTTTCAGAAGTTATTTTGTTAAAAATGATAATATTCATTATCATTATTAATAACAAACATTATCATTATTAAGTAGTTTATTATCAATTAATATTTGATATCTTGATTTATATAATAAATATTAAACAAAATGCATATATACATATATTGATCTAATTCATACACATAGTATATGTGTATGAATTTTTAACATCAAATATATAATTTTTATCAGCTTGATTAATATTTAAAAACCGCTGTTGTAAATATAATGAATGTGGCATATTTCTAAATCTGATTAAATTTATGTTTTTAATTATTTACATGTTTATTTATTTTTGAGTTATTTTTGACTTATTTTGAATGTAATTTTTATTTTTTAAATAAGATGATTAAAATAGTCGGCTTTCATTTAACACAATCGCTCTTGCTGCATTGTTAGGATTATAGATATCATATACAAATGAGATTCTTGTTTGTTGTTCGATATTATTGTAGTAACAATAAAATTTGTTTGTGTAATTAAAACTCATATGCTCGCATAAAATTCTGTGATAGGTCAAGACCTTCATGAAACGTTCCGGGACATTTTTCCGATTTCATTTAGTTTTCAAATAGTTCTTTTTCTGTCAAAGCTTTGTATGCTATCGTGATCCGATTCTCATTGCCCTAAATTTAATACGAATATTTCTCATCTTTTTTGCTATATGTCACGTATATTAATTATTCAGCCTCTTTACACAGTGAATAATGAAAATTTACAGACCTAAGACTCATTAAGAGTTTAGGAGGAGGAAAATTCGATTTACTCGCTTCTACAAATAATTTCGAGCACATTTCACATGGAAATAATGTTCTCAACATGTATGCCGAAAAAAAATTTTCAACAATTTTCAAAGCGGCCGATGAAAACAACCTTCCGTTTGTTCCAAATCCGAGAACCACCTTTTCCATCAAAGAGAAGAGACATATCGAGGTCTGACCATTCGATGACCCCAATTCGCTCGTAGAATCGCTCGTAGAAGCCGCTGTAATCAAAGGCTACTATCCTTCTAGCATGACATCCTTTGTATAAGCGTCCTCGAGGCCCGCGATTCCACGAAACTGACTTTAGACCAAGCTACTCGCCATTCATCGAATTTCAAAGCCGCTCACCTTGCATGATAACGAGATATTCTCATATCGATATGCCGTTTCCAGATCGTACTGCTGTAAAAATGAAAATTGATAATATTATACACTCGGTCGATAATGAAAACATATAAAAATTAATAGAATATTTTATAACTTTAGTATAATTTCTAAGTAAAAAAATAAGCATTCGGGTTATGACTTTTGAATAATAAAACTGCGAAGAATCTCATTTGAGAATCTCATTTATTCATGGAACAGTACATTTGTTAATGTAATCTTTTGATGTAACAAATCACCGTTTTTTGTTGGCATCGACAATAAATTTTGCATCGATGAATTTCCACAATGAAACCTCATGTCTTAATGAAACTAGAAGCTGTCACGAAGTAATAGATGTCATGTTCTTCAAGAGAACGCCTTGCTTATGGAAGATATTATATCTTACACGTACAAGTAGCAAATCTTAACCGCACGCTTGGCAAAGAGATAGAACGAAGATCTCAGAATGACCTATTTCCGGGAAAAGATGAAAAAGGATCCGTGACTTCCTTTTTATGTCACAATTTTTAACATTGTTATTTCCCGGCAATTACAGAATGACGACAAATGTTGAAAGATAATTGCTCTAATTTTCTTAATCATATTTTTTACATAAACTGTAAGAAAAATATTTGACTGATTTAAAAATTGTATTTTTATACTTAATTAAAGATGAATAAAATTTTTAGTTTAAATATTAACATGCAAAAATCATTGTATACTAAACAATAATTCTCATGTATATAAATTAAAAAGCACGCTGTTGGTTTAATCACTTGCACAGTTACTCCTTGGATTTAGTCTAACGGAGAATCACCCGTTGCCTTAGATAATATGGCAACATCTCCCCCAGCAAGACATCTCACTTGAGACTAGCAAATGAAGTTAGACACAGCAGGTGTAACTTAATCAACGTTGACGACGTTGACGAGGAACTCGTATGAAGGAAGGAAATAAACAATGAAAAGTTCATTACTTCGTAATGGAGGACGATACCAGTCTTGGTTTGATGACGTAACATTATGTTACATGTTATATTACCTGTTTCCTTGCAAAATTTTCTTTGAAACGAAGTGGAAGTACGAGACATGCATTATAATGCATGATGTACTGCAAATATATAACAGTATCAGTATCC